CCACCGATTATAGAGCAGAACAAATGACATGCAATAGCTGAGTGCACAACTTTCTCTTTTTTCAGGGCATGTATCAAGACTCTTGGTGGGAAATCAGCCAGCTGAAGAAACAAAACAAAGAACTGAAGAGACGGGCAACAAAATATGCCAAATCTCTTGCGCACCTGGTGTACCTCCTTCAATGGCCAACAGGGGTAGATCTCCTTCAAAAACCCTGCAAATCTTGAGGCAAGGTCTTAAAGGCTTCCCTTAAATAAATCCCCTTCTTTTTTCGGTATTTTGAAAAAAAAAATTTTAATAAAACAAATTATATATATATATGAAATAAATTTTAAAAAAATAGATAAAAATGAAAACACATTCCAAGACGATTTAGGGCATCAAACTGATCTTCCCTTAAGTAACCGTCTCAGACCAAATTTCTTTGGTCCTACTCAGCAGTTACCTACTAAGGTTAACCCTTTTCATTTGCCTTGGTGAAGGTAGCTGTAGACCCTTACAAGGTTTTCCATTTTCCCTTCTGACCGAATTACAAGTGAACCTCTTCCACATCTATAACAGCAAACAAGCCTTTTAGCTCTACGTTTAATGGTAATAGCCTTATAATTGGGAGTCATTGTATTTAGATTGTAGAAAATCATTGAATTGGATACTAAGATGTACCTTGGTCGAGATACACCAAAAAAAGATAGCGTGTCCCTAGCATGTCCCTAGCGTGTCCCAACATGTCCGCAGCGTGTCTGGTGCGTGTCCGTGTCCGACACATGTCGAACACCTATATGTTACCTCCGGAGAAGTGTCCGTGCTTCATAGACAATAATAGTCACAGTGTAACTGTATTAGAAGTATTGAGTAATACGTATCTAAAATCGGGTGATGCAACTGTGAATTTTTTTGAATCATCGTCGTCTAAACTCCATGATATGTATGTTTATACTATTTATCTTAATTGGTCATACTATAATCAATGTTGTGACATGTACAAATATGTTTTTCTTATTGTACTAATAGAGAAATTCATGTTAATAAAAGAAAAAAAAATGGACCTATTGGGGCATGAAATATATCCATTTTAGTCACAAGACATCAATTAGTTTTCACCAAAATTTGAAGTTTAAAAGTTCAATATTTCAATTTTTACATCCAATGTAACATTTTTTAAACTACTTTGATGCCTCTATAAAGGCTACTATGCATTTCAAAGATTTACATTGTCTTTGGAACACTAGAATGGAAATAAGTGGGAATGGGATGAGAGTGGGAATAGAATACAAGGTTGAATACAATGCTCATTCTCATTCCACTGTATGGTTGTCAACATGAAATTAATGTATTACAGGATGTCCACAAATTTGATTACCTAGGGTAGATCAATGATGGTACATTAAATTAAACACTTGTCGATCAACGATGGTGTTGGTGCTTGTGGTAGTAACGGTATGACAGTGGTAGTGGTGGTTGTGGCAATAATTGAAATTATTTTTTTTTAAGTTTTGAGATGTATCGAATGCTTTTTGAATACTTCATGTCACGTATCCCAACTATTATGAAATTGATATTAAAATATTTCTAGCATAGCAATAGAGTTTAATTGTTCGCATAAATACAAGAATAGTTTTTCAATACTTAGCTTACTTTTTTGAAAACAATAAAATATCATGATTGCTAACATCGGATTTCAACACTTTAAAAACAAGTAAACTTGCATACAACACTTGAGCATATAACAATAAGTGTAAAATGGAAAACAATATAAATAGTGCAGCATTAATATTGAATTTTTTTTTGTTCTTTTTTGTAAAATCTACTAAAAAAAAGTACAATTGACTAGTGGCTCTTAAACTAAATAATGATTTCTCATAATTCATTGAGCTTATGTATAATACAATACTAAAAATTATATTTTGTTTATGAGCGTATTTTAGGCGTAACCAATTCTTAATTTTTTTGTCTTTGCATTTCTTCATTTCCATATCCCGTATTTGTAGCCATACTTCCTAGGTGGAAACAGTGGTGGTGGTGGTGGCACCACGACAATAGGGTGGTGCCAATCATAGTAGTGGTAGGGATGATAATTGAATCACCAAGCCCAACTAACCAGCCTGAACCGAACTGCACCGCCTAATTTTGGACAATTTCAAAGTATAATAATGGGTTCAATCGGTCTTTTCATGCCTCACCCAACCATTACCGGTTAGGCAGCAGTTTCTATAGTTTTAAAACTAAACCCAACCGAAATATATTTTTATAAATTTATTTGGTGGCAACAACAACCGTGGTAGTGGTAGTGGCAACGGAGATAGCGGTAGAAGTAGTGGTGGTGACCAACAAATGGAGGGCCAACAAACACTAGGCGATTCCATCATTGAATTGAATGTCTGTTAATAGGTATTGATCACTGAACACTTCATCACAAGGGGGTTGCAGGAGGGCAGCGTCCCCTTGCCTGAGGGAGGGGGTTTAGCGACATGTCCCCAACCTGAATTTTGAAGTAAGGGTGTTTTGGTATTTCCACACTCATGTCTAGTTATCCTAATTTTTATGTATTTATAGTTGAGGGATAGATGGCTATCTTGTATCTTGTAATTGTCTGATCATAGTGAAAACTACAGCAACGATCAACATAGCCCTTGGTTTTGGGTGAACCACATCAATCATTTTGTTCAGTGTGTGTTCTTTGATTTTGTTGTTTTCTATTTTTTTTGTTCTTGTTTGTGTTTCACATCTTATCAATCTTGCTTGGGTGTATCAATTCCTAGCACGAGGGGCATTTATTCTAGCGTACCAAATGCAGCATTAAATCCCACACAAATCAGCGAAGAAACATGAGTACCTAGGGCTATAAAACAAACCATGTTACTCTAGTTCAACTCATTTAAAACTCATTCAAGATTAGCTAGTTATATAAACATGCCAAGCTTGAATACAATTTGAACCTCATTAATTTTCTGAGCTCATCTCAAACTCGGCTATATTTACTTTAAGTCAATGTAAAAAAATGACATGTTTGGTAACATTTATATTTAAAATTTTCTGTATATATTTACAGAATTTTGAAAATTGTAAACAAAAACTCGTTTGGTTTCTATTTTCGTTTTCAAAAAATTATAAACACAAAAAGGTCGGTTTCAATTGCTTAAAAAAATTTCATTTCTTCCTCTTGTTTTTTTTTTTAAAAAAAAATAACCAAGTGCCCAGACCAACTTACGCGCACCTGATCCCAAGGCCTTGAAGTTAACAAGCGAACAAACCTCTACTGGCCACAAGGTTTGGGATGTTTGGCTTTCGTGGGATTCGACCGTGCGACCTCTTGGGTGGTAAGCCCTTTGGTTGCCTCTCCTCCCACCCTTTTTGACCTCCACTCATTACTTATCACTACCGGCTACCATCGCCGATGATCTCCTTCGCCAAGCACCTCCGGCCACCACCTCCTGCTGACAGTAACCACTTTTGGCCACCACCTCTTGTTGAAAACCACTTTAGGCAGCCAACCAACCACCATATCTGACCATTAGCAATCACTTTTCAGCCATCACTTCATATGGCCAAGCACCACCTCCGGCCACTATCTCCAACTGTTGACAACTACCTCTTTTCACTTGTTTTCAAAACAAAATTTTAAAATACTTGTGTACCAAACATATTTTTTATTTTTGCTTTTACCAAAATAAACATGAACATGTTTAGTGTTTTCTGTAAACTGAAATTAGTAAACCGTAAATATTGCCAAATGGCACCTAAGCTACTTGAGCTTTGCTCGTGGTCGGCACAATATAAGCTCATTTGATGTCGACTAGAAAGATAAATAACCAAGATTTAACACATTTTTTAAGTTTATTAAATTTTCAAACTGAATTTGAACAACCTACTATTCGACTCGACTCTACTCTACTCTACTCGGCATTGTTTATAACCTACTACTCGACTTGACTCAACTAGACTCAGCTTGTTTATTACCTTAAGAGTATCAAGCATAACATATAAGCCTGATGCATTGTGTACTACGCAGTACACACCATCAGTCCCACATCGTTAAACTAAAAGAGAAGGTATTCCAACTGCTTTAAAATGCCCATGCATTACCTCTAAGAGTGGATCGATTGGTGGGCCTTATGTGCCACTTTGATAGTTATTAAACATTAAAAGCAATTGTTAAGTTTTTTTTATTATGGTCAGTATGTACCAAAACTAGGCTGTGCCTAAAGCAAATTTGCACTCCCACATCTATCCTAGGGTGTATATTTTTCTCAAAAACCCAATCCGAACTAGTAGATTCACTACGACATAGATGATTTTTAAAACCATGGACACAACACATACAACCCAACAGGGCAATTTTCAAAAAATGTGAGACACGACTTGTGAGGGACAAGCAAAATATATAATTTTATATGTTCTTTATATGTCATACATATACATGTATATTTCATTCAAAGTTAATAAAATTTACAATCGAACTTGAATTTTTAAAGTTTAAAGGGGGATTAATAGGTTTAAAGTTGCATTAAATCCTAAGTTATTTATGGGAAAATTATTAAATACTCTTTGAGTACCATGTGGCATTGCCTACGTGGTACTCCCAGCAAATGAAAACCACAACACACACACACACACTAAGTTAGCCATCTTTTGTCTACCAACTACCTAACAAAGGTGAGTCGCCATGTCCCATCCATAACAAAAATTTGCTTCATGATTGGTTGGAGCACCACGTAGGCATTACCACATGATGCTCCTGGACTACTGAATAATTATCCTATTTTATTCAAACTTATAATGTATTTTATTTGTATTTAAGCGATGGACATGTTTGGATGTGTTCAATAAATGTCCCACAAGTATCCGACAGTTTCGATGTGATGTTGCAACATAAACATGAGTTTGTGCAGTACAAAGGATGAAATTAAAGTACAGAAACAAGGAAGCCCACGTTGACAATAATGGCACAGTCAATCAAAGTATTCATACGGAAAGGGGAAAAAAAAGGGGGAAAAAAAAACCTGAAATATGAACTCATCTCAGCAGTATCCACGCAAATATCCATGGTTGAATCCAGAGTTTCGTCCGAAATTAAAAATCACTCTTTCAACAACAACAATTCCCCAAACAAACAACCCCAAATTCACATCATGGAATCAGATTAGAGCCCAGAATCACAAACCCAATTGGTAATACAGAAATTCCTGCCAATTTAAACAAAAACAATAACAAATCATTTAATTGCACAAAGCACCTCAAACTCAAATCAACAAAGCAATACAAAGACATTAGTTCAAATCAATGAACAAATCTAACAAATTACCTGATAATGACTAAAATTACATAAAATCTTAGACAAATCGGATCGAATGCCAATTATGCATGTGTGTGAAGAAATTACATAAAAATAAGGGTTGAAGAAAGTAATTAGAGCAGTTTCTTGGATCAAGAGAAAGAGGGTTTTGGGAAATTGAAAGACAGCGATATGCGTAAAAGAAGTGTAGTGAAGAAGTGTGGTGAGTGTGAGTCTTTCTCACATAATATAAAATTGATGAGCTGCATATGTAAATATATACTGTAATAATAAAAAAATAACATGTAAACAGCAAGTGAATGAGACTCCACCATGAGGACTGTCGTGTTTTGGAGACAGCTGTGGCTGTGAGAGAGAGAGAGAGAAGCCATCGCAATCACAGGCGGAGGCTTGGGCTGCTTTGTTGGTAACTGACCGACCAATGGGGTTGAATTTTTGCATAGATGAAGGTTTCATTTCAACAATTAACAATTACTGTTTTGTTTTTTTTTTTTTTATTCTTGGACTTGCGATAAATTCGGGCCCACTAATCTTGGGCTATTGGGTCTAAATAATTTAGTGGGCTCAAATTAGCCCCTCTTACACTCGTGATGGTGCAGGTGGAAACGTAAACAATCCAGCCTGTTTAGAATTTTTAAAGGACTCATGCCAGCATTATAAGGTGAAGTTTGGCAATCTAAAAATAATTTTTTTTTTATTATTTTTTTATTTTTTTTTATCACATTATCTTTTTATTTTTTTGCACATCTTTTCATAAAAAGATAAAAAGTACACTTATTTAGATCATCCCAAACAATCTTTAAATTTTTTATTTAATAAATAATCTTATACTGATGTAAGATATTTAATTATTTATTTGATAAAAAATTTAAGGTCTACAATATTTTCCTTTTTAAAGTAGTAGCATATCTGTGTTTTTGTAATTTGGCTTGGCCTGGCCCACTTGGGCTTGGGTTTAGGTAGGTTCACTATCAGGATGTGCGGGCTTACGCTAAAATTCGAGCAGAACTGAGCTGGCCCACTTGTGCAAAATTACAACCCAGGCCTAAGCCCAAGTCCGAAGGTACTTGGGCCTCAAGCGAATCAAGCCTCAAGCCTTGGGCCCAGGACGGGCCTAACCTTTTTTATTTTTTTTAGCAAAATTTTTTTTTTTCAACCAAAAATGATACTGGATCTCAAGTCGAGTCTTGAACGAGTTTCAAACAGGCCAATCGGGCCTAGCTTCGGGTCGAGTTGGGTTGGGTTGGGCCCCAAAACACACGACCCATGCCCAAGCTCAGGCCTGGGCGGGCCTAACCCGGTTGGGCCACTTCAGGGCAACGAGCAGGCTTCCAGAGGGCCGCGGGTCAGTCGGCCAATTTTACAACCCTATTTGTGTCCATTGTAAGCATTCAAAATTTTTATAATGGCAGATAGAGGGCTGGTTAAGGAATTTGGCTATTTTAGTTGACATTTTGATTATTTTAGTTTGGCTAAAAAAATTATAGTTGGTTTTTTTTTTTTTAAGTAGATTTAATGATTATGAGAGAAAAAAATAAAATAATTATAGTTTGAATGTGACATTTTGTGTTATTGACTATTTTGACCTATTTTGTCTTTATTGACTATTTTAGCCAAAAAAAACTCTCCAACTCACTTTCTAAACAGGGCCAAATAAATTTGTGTTTTGGCCAAAGCAACGGTTTATCCCTAGCTTTTAATTGATATCAATGTGGCAACGGTTCTTCCTTTTAATTCAAACTCAATTTTAGTTATCAAAAAAGAGAATTCTATTATACACACCCTCATACAATATGCACCCTTAGTTACTTCATTTTATTCTTTAGTTATGACATTATTTTTAAATATTTGGTTATGATTTTTTTTGTATTTGGTTATGACTTTTTTTTTTTAAAGTTATGACTCAGAAAATATGGAGTTATACCATTTTTTCTTATAGTTATAAGGTGCATAGTCTTTCCCCATAAAAAAATATAATGCGGCAAAAAACAATTTTTTCATGAAATTATTCAACAAGATGTTTTAGGACAATGTTAGTACGGTCTTCTTAATTCTGATTTCATCACTCACAAATCTTGTTTTTTTATATATTTCACGAACCAAAAGTATACATAAAAAGGTTTTGATGTATTTGACCGAGAGTTTAAAGTTGTTACGCTCATAAACAGTTCTGAGTATATCTATCCTCCTCCTTCCAACAAACCAAATAAATAAATAAATAAAAAGTGTTATGCCCAGTAAAAAGGAAATTAAAAAATTCAATTTTGTTTTTGAATCTCAAGTCTCTTTTGGCAACATTTAAAAAAGTCAGTTTATTGACTTATTGGCTTAATTGGGTCATGTAGCACTCCAGAATTTCTTTTCTTTTCCCTCATTGCTCGAGCGAAGGAATGGTTGCTCAAGCGGTCTTGCCTAGCTCCCAGTACTTTTGTCGGTTTGTCTAAGATTCTGAGTGTTGTTGTTGTTCGCTCGAGTGTAGGAGTGGTCGCTCGAGCCGTCTGCCTAGTTTGGTCTGGAATTAGTGTTATTCGCTCGAGTGAAGGATCGGTCGCTCGAGCAAAGTGTCCGAATTCAACACGTTTAAAAGTCACTTTTTGGTCCACTTTCTTCATTCTCTCGTGTCTTTTCTCTCTATTCTTCTCCTTTTCCACCAATATTGAGGGTTTCAAGCTTTCAAGCTTGATTTTCATCTCCCTTCTTTGATTATCTACCCCATGTTCCTTATATAAAAACGAAGAGCACATCGAGGGCTTTCTTTTCATCCAAACGGATTGTGTTTTGGTCAAAGTGGAAATTTCAGGCTTCTCCTCTTCATGCTTGAAGTAAGGATCTTCCTTACTTCTCTTCAATATTTTCTTATAGATAGATGGGTGGTATTCTCTTATTGCATAAAGACCTTATCTTGAGGAGTTTTTCTTAAAAGCATGTAATGTAAGTTACGGTTTCCAAATGAGGGAGTCAAAATATGAAATTAGGGGTGGCTTATGGATGTGCTGAATAGTTAGAATGTGATTTTGTGTCTTAAGATGAAAAGCCCTAAATTCAACTTAACCCTACTTACTTTAAAAATGAGTAATTACCTTAATTAACTTTGATTTTCTTGAAATTTCATATATGATTGGATTAAATGTGTAATTGTAATGAGACTAATGGTTGTGAAAATAATATCAGGCAATGAAGATTGTGTTTGAGAAATCTAAAATTGGAAATTTAATTAATAAGGCTTTGAGAAGTTTATAAAAAAAAATTGTATTCTGTAATTGGACTAAAGGAGTTAATGTTGATGATGAGAAATAGAAAAGGTTGTGGAACATAATGGGTAGGTGTTATGAAAATGAATTTTAAATATATGAAGGACGTGTTGTTAAACAAATGTGTAAAAGGAACAATGAATGATATGTTGGCCTTGACCATGAATCATAATTGTGGATGACATGATGAATTAATGGATTGTAATGTCGTTTTGGGGTCCGTTTCCCGCAGTATTTGAGCTAGCAAAGCGTGACGTTCCGCATTTCTTTTAGCTAGTGACCGGTAAAGTGTGAGGTTCTGCATTTCTTCCGGCTAGTGACCGGTAAAGTGTGAGGTTCCGAATTCCTTCCAGCTAGTGACCGGTAAAGCGTGGCGCTTAATAAAGGTTCCGCTTTCCTTCCAAAGTAACGCCTGATAAAGCGTGTGGTTTATGGATGTGATTTGTTTATGGATCCGATGATTGTTGTGGACTTGTGGAGAAAATCATATTGGTATTTGTATATGCAATTGTGATAGATAGGAATGATGAATTTAAATTATTTGAAGTTGAAACGATGGAACTATATTGACTTATCATATATAAATGGATTGTGGAGATGTGTTGGTAATAAATGTTGTTACATGTGATTTCTTCCGGCTAGTGACCGATAAAGTGTGAGGTTCCGAATTCCTTCCAGCTAGCGACCGGTAAAGCGTGGCGCTTAATAAAGGTTTTGTTTTCCTTCCAAAGTAACGCCTGATAAAGCGCGTGGTTTATGGATGTGATTTGTTTATGGATCCGATGATTGTTGTGGACTTGTGGAGAAAATCATATTGGTATTTGTATATGCAATTGTGATAGATAGGAATGATGAATTTAAATTATTTGAAGTTGAAACGATGGAACTATATTGACTTATCATATATAAATGGATTGTGGAGATGTGTTGGTAATAAATGTTGTTACATGTGTATATCAAAGTGAGGTGAATTAGGGTGGGATGATGACTAGTTGTGATTTAAATTATGTAATGTATGATCTTTTGTAATACATATTCTATTGATGTTGTAACCTTATGAAAAGTTAAGAAAGGAACCCTAAGAAAGACGGTTAGTAATTGGTACAAGAATGTTTAGAAGATAAAAGAAAAAAATTTCTTTGAAGAGTTAGTGGATTTTTATTTTGGAAAGGTACTACCTATATACATATATATATATTATATTTTGAATACAAATGGCACATTATCCATTTATGTGTCATTCCGTAGCATGCATGATCGCATATATCTTTAGATTTATTATTGTGAATCATTGAAGATTCCTACTGAACATATTTGTTCATCCCACGTTGTTTTTATCATTTTTCAAGAAAGGATACAAGAACATCGGTTAAAGTTGCAAGAACTCTCTTGGTCTTTTGTGTGTATTTTTATCTAGTGTATAAAGGGAATGTACATTATGATTTGAACATATGTAATTATTTATAGTAGTGCTTCATTGGGAGCTTGGCATGTTGTCACGACCCAAACTCGCCCTATAGGTTTAGTGTCGTAATCGGCCAGTAATCCTGAAATTACCAAAGGCCTCTGACCTGAATATCATAATAATAGAGGGGCTACGGAAGTAAAATATACAAAAACAATGTCCATAAAGCTGCGTAGACATACACAAAACTGAAATTTTAAATTGAGATATATACATACATAAGTGATGCCAAACTTTCTTAAGTCTTGCTTCACTATACAAGTAATATAATAAGGGACTTAGCCCAGCGTACAGATAACAAAAACAAAATAACAAAACATCCTTAACATGATTCACAAAACTTGACTTTCAAAAGGGAACCTCCCCTAGAGGCACGGTGGCTAGTTGACCCAAAACTCTCCAGGCAGCAGTTTAGGCTTACTTATGCGCCTGCTCACCTACATACATAATATAAATAGTGAGAGGAAGCCCAATGAATAATAATAGAGTAAAGGGTTTAAATGAATGATGTCTCATATCAGATTCAATAATAGATGTCATTTCAGAAACAGATTCAGGTTCATATTC